CAATTGTATCACTCCCAGGAACTCAAACATTCAATTTATCCAAAGAATTATACAGAAAATTGAAACACCTAACGGAATCTTGTGATCACTCCATCAATTCCGCTATCTAATTTCTATATAAAACCAGAAGCATTCAAATTCATAACCAAGAAATAATGCTATCCATCGATGTCACAGCATTATATATCTCAATTGAACAGAAACTAGCAAGACATACGAAGCAGGAAATGCTCAGCGACGACGAACACCTCCCACAACAGTCAAAAATGCAACACACAAGTTGGATGGAATGCATAAACCTATGCCTGACAACGTACTTCCAATTCAACAGCCAAATATATGAACAAGTTAAAGGAACACCCATGGGATCGCCAATATCAGGTTTAATTGCAGAAGCAGTGATGCAAAGGCTCGAAAACATAATCCTATCAAAGATCGAAACCAAAATTTGGATACGTCACGTAGATGACACATTTGTAATAATCAGAAGAAACGAGTTGGATAAAACTCACAGCTTAATAAACAACGTGTTCAGCGACATCAAATTCACAAGAGAAGAGGAATCCAAGAGCAAAATCCCACTTTTGGACGTCTTAGTCAAGCGAACAACCACGGGGGAATTAGAAACACAAGTTTATGGAAAATCAACTCACACAGATCAAATACTGAATTACAACAGCAACAATCCAATAACACACAAAAGGGATTGCATACAAACACTATTCAAGGGGGCCACGACTCATTGCAGCACTCCCACCTTACGGAAAATTGAAGAAAGATATCTCATAAAAGTCTTCCAAAAGAAAGGATATCCAGGGCATTTCATCAAAAGACATATACCCCCAAGCCAAACTACCGAAACAAAGGCCCCCAAGGAAAGCACAAAGAAAATCGCCATACCACATATAAAGGACATCTCAGAAATCACTGAAAGACTCTTCAAACCTTTAGGAATTGAAGTCGCACACAAACCAACAAAATCACTTCACTTAGCTGGCTCTGTGTCAACCAAAAGACTCAACAACGAAAGAAGATAAAACCAACATCATCTACAAATAAACTGTAACAACTGCGAAAAACACTGTATTGGCCAAAGTGGACATCTCCTTCATCTTCGTATCCATGATCATAAGCTAGCCGTCAAAAGACGACATCCACTCCATCACTCATACCACTACATACAGACAACCACGGACATCAATTCGATTGGCACAACCAGCGTTCAAATATTAGACAGAGGAAACACCAAGAATGCTAGAGAATTTTTTAGAAGGCTGCCTGGTATTCCAGTGAATCCTCAATCAATAGACACACCGACATAGACAAAATTTACCAATCGATGAAAGGAAATCCCACACACAAAGGGTCAAACTTCAGGTCAAGGAAACAATCAACACCAATACCAATACAAGTAGCCTAGAAGGTATGAAAACACACAAAAACAACCAGTCACGTCCAAGGTCACCAGGAGAAATGACTAATAAACTCGTGGAGAAATCCCAAAGCTCACTTCAAATTGTAGTATGCGATGAAGATGTTGCCTAGTAGGGCAATGAAAGCTTCGCGCATAAACTATCCAGCTGAGAGAACACAACCACATCAAAATCATCACCTGAGCTATAAATCTTCTCCATCGTACCTATAACTCAAGGTTGTCTTTTGTAAGCGATGATGTTCTTGATTGTGGTGGGCTGGATTATGCTTCTGACTGTGATTGAGGAATACGTTGGACTGATCAATAAGACCCAAGAAGATATGGATTTTTCGCGAGGATGATTTATGTTTAATGTCACATAAACTCGAAGACTTGTAGGCGAAAACTAACTGGCTGAAGAAGCAGCCAGTGAAGACAGGAACTCCAGGTGAATGTGGAGAAGGTGGGGATGGAGGTGATGTCGAAAACCAACCGACGAACAACAACAACCAGCACCAATCACCATCAACGGGACAGATTTGACACTTCATAATTTTATCAACAGCTGCCATACTGAGGATCGACGGCTGGCCAGAAAGAATTAGCAAGAAGAAACTGCCTGATTGGGAACAAACCAATAGGCGACAGGCGATTACTCAACAAATATTTAGAAGAAAATAGAGATGGACTAGGTACACACTGAGGAGACTGTAAATTGACGTCATGCGCGAGCCCATAGCACGGGTGGAACCCAAATTGGGAACGAGTGGGTCGTAGGTGCGAGAGTGACATGGAAGAGATCGTGTAAGTTAGAGGAGATGAAAGGTTATGGACTATCATGGAGGCAACTGAAGAGGACCGCAGAAAAATATGGAAAAGTAGAGATGTGCTGTTGAAGCCCTATGTTCTACTTGGAATCCAAAGAAACAATAATATAATAATAATATAAGACAATTCATTATATATATATATATATATATATATATATATATATAGGGATTGATGGCAAGCGCAAAACCACGGTAACAATGCCAACAACTTATACAGCAGGGGAGGACATGATTAGTCCTATGAAAGCAGGCGACTGCTTTAAGTACCTTGGATTGGAGTTTGACCAAGGAGGAATAGCCAAAAAGAACATGTTGGGTACCCTCGAAGCTATGCTGAGAGAGGTCGACGACGCTCCTCTGAAAGCCCAACAGAGGCTGCGAATACTTCAGACACATTTGATCCCGCTGGTTCAGTAAGCAATCCTTGCCAATCCCATGGATGAAACAACGTTAAGGGTTATGGATCGCACAATCGGCTACCACCTCGAGCGATAGCTGCATCTACCACACGACACTCCCGATGCCCATTTCTTTACAGAGATACAGAGAACGGCGGGCTAGGTATAGAATGCATCCATACGACAGTCCCAGGTAGGGATTTTGCCCTTCTTAATGACTTTGCAATCATCTACGTGCCCAGCAGTGGCAGCTTCCTTGGAAAAGGAGGTGTCGCAACCTATGATTAGACACATGTTAAGGGGTGCTAAGATAGATAGAAGGAGGTATGTAAATAAGGTAAAGGTGAGGAAAGTCTGGAGGGAAGAATGATTAGGGAAAAAGGATGGTTTAGGGGTGAAAGAAGCTCAACAAACGCGGGTATCAAATAGGTGGCTTCGGAAGACAGAATCAGTCTTCCCAAGGATCTTTATTAAGGGATCCAGCTCAGAGGAAACCTATAAGGGACAAAGGAAAGGGTCTCCAGAGGGTGGCACACGGAAGGAGGGACTGACGACTACCGATGTAAGTGTAGTAGTGGTCATAAAGAGAATCTGTCACATATCTTACAGAGATGTAGAATAACACACGGACCGCGGACTGTCTAACACGATAGGATAGTTGCTAGCTTGGCGGAGGCCATACACAAAAAAGGCTTCAAAGTCGTGCAAGAGCCCCACATTAAATATTTCGGCTCGTACTTTAAACCAGACATCGTAGCCATTAGGGATAGAACAGTCTGTGTCATCGACGTTAAGGTGACTACCGACAACACTCTACGGCAGTCCTGGCGTACGAAGGTTAATAAATACGATGACATTGACAGGAATAGAATCCTAAGAAACCACTTAAGGAAAAACGTGGGCATCACGGTGGATCGAACAATCCACTACCCGTTCATAATTAGCATGAAGGGACTCCTATACGAGGGCAGTGAACGGGCCATGACTCGACTAACACTATCTAAACTGATTCTTTCTGATCTCTGCCTGCTGACCATCATAGGGTCTCTGAAATGCTATGACAGCTTCTACCCAGACAAGGGGCGAAGGTAAGTGAACACTTTTAATGCACGCCATGCTTTCTCTTTTGTCTATTTTCCAGATGGATGACCATGCCCCCCCATCGTGAGGTAGATGGGTTTTTTTTAACCGGCTGGGGTGGCAGAACACGGTTAAAGGAGGTTTCCTAAGTAGCACATCCCCACTAAGGAAGCACTTTACCTTCCACAAAGGCCCGCTTCTCCTGACTTCAACCAGGTTCCAAAACCCCGGCACCTAGGCGTTTCCTTTCTCGCTTTTCTTTTTTTTTCTCACACATGGAGTTAGACGAACCAGGGGGGATGGCCGCAACTGCTAGAACCTTACCGCGGCGCCACCAGCAACCGGTTTGGGACAGCCCTTCGATGATACTTAAACCATCCCAGCCTGTCCGAGTGTGTATGGGGTCATCAGGGCGATGATTGACTTCAAAACTCGGACAATTGTCTGCTAACCACGCAGGCAGTAAAAAGCTGAAATGCTTTGGGTGCCATCGTCCGCATCTGTGGGCGATGAGGGCTGAGGTGGTGGATAGTGGAGAAGGGTGCGTAGTGACAACCGGTTGGCCTAAGTGGACGATAACCCAGGTCGGGCACTCGATGTCGTCCCCCACTTAGGAGGTTATAGTAGATAACCTGGGACTTTGGGGCCTTCTCCGTTAGTGGGAGTGGCAGGACCTGGCTGCTATACTGTTTTCATGCGTGCGCACTAGTTAGAATCCGACCCAGACCACCAGGTCGGTGACGAGGATTGACCTGGAAACAGGATAGATCAGGAAATGAAAATAGCCAAATGCCTCGTCATCTAATTAGTGACGCGCATGAATGAATTTGTTGGTTTTCTTTCCACAATTCTTCGAGTTTGTGTGACATTAAACACAAATCATCCACGCGCGAAATACAGATCTTCTTGGGTCTTCTTATTGGTCAGTCCAACGTATTCCTATCTACTCACTCCCCAGTCACAGTCTGAAGCATAATCCAGTCCACCACAATTGAGAATATCATCGGTTATAATAGGCAACCTTATCTTACTCCCTCACTTCAAATACCTCGCTGAGTTTTCCGCTGTGAATCACCTGACCATATAGTCCAGCAAAGGAAAATAACTACGAGAAGGCAAGTTTATTTCTGCATTAAAACAAATAATAACGTGAAGGTGTTCTCAACAGTTCCACCAACAGCCAATCAAAACAGCTAAGTCACAACACCCTCTGAGATTCTCATAACCTGAGGTGTGTAGCAATTATTGAGGGAATAAAAAAAACCCAACTGAACTTACCAATTTCTCGCTCGATAATACTTCGAGAAGACGGATAAGTGTAACTCCATCTCCAATATCTTTGAATAGATCATTAATACGAACTGGTGGGGATAACTAAATATGTAAATTAAAAAAATAAATAAATAATAGTATTATGAGTAGTATAAATAGTCAGTAAACAATTTTAAGTGTCGGTTTGCAAGGATTTCATTGGTTGCTGGTTAGATAACAAAATGACGTCAGTTAGAGTACCACTGGGAAATCAGAGAGTACCAGATATATGTTTCGTTCGAGCTTGAGACTCTTCATCAGTTCTCATCCGCCGCAAGTGTTGAAATAATGCAGGACCTTCCGGTTATAAGGCAAGCTCGGAGACTATTCAGTCACTGCGACTCGATCCAGTGGCCAGCCCATGAATTCTAACTTCTGTCTATGTTTGATATATACCACGATATAGGTCAATAGGTCAAGCTTCAATTTTCAGTAACTGTGTTGGATTAATTTTATGGGATGGAGTTGCTAGCTTCATACCCAACCTTCCTTCTTTACCAGTCTTGCAATATGCCAAGTTATGTCAGGGAATTCGCTGGCCAGGAATCAAACCCCGAACCACGAGGGTGGTTGGCAAGAATTCTATCACTCAGCCACGGATGCACATGAGAAGGGCAGTGAAAGCTTCGTGATTAAAACATCCAGCTCAGAGAACATAACAATACACTTAAAATCTGAGTTAAAAAGAAGCACAGTGACAAGATCAGATATTCGTCGTGAATTTTCTATTTGATTAACTTGCGCAATTTGAAGATTATATTTTTTCCGAGAGGAAATACTGCTTTTTACCTAAATTTGCTTGCTTTTCTCTGATTAATCACTTCAGAGGGTCACTGAGCCGGTCATCATCTGCTTGGAGTGTACTTTGTACACAGAGTGCAAGCAGCAATAGTTTATTCAGTGGGTTGAAAAGCTAGTTTAGCCTTAAATTGTATACCTCTTAACACTTATATCAGCTAAACATATCGGGAATTCGAATGAAATTCATTCTCCTCCTGAAATCTTAACGAGAGTCAGCTGATAATTGACTCAGAAGTTGAACAAATTGGGGTCTTTTCATTAAAGTCCACACATGTTCGAAAGGGATTTTTTAAACTGTCAATCCCTTAGGAAGAATAAGTGACGAGTACTGCTCAGAAAAGCCCTTCGAACGAATAAGCTTTACCTTAAGAGAAAACCACCCCTAGAAGTATGTATAAGGGGAAGCAGAATTTAAAAAAAAATGTAAAACGTATGTGACAATGGTTATAGTCGATGTAAACAACATTTTAGTCAACTTCCCCCCCCCCTCCGTCATGAAGAATGATAGATTAAAAGTACACATTTGATAGGAGAGAATGTCTTTAATGTTCGTTGACTAGATGGAGGCAATTAGAAACCTTGAACCTAGGTTTCGTGCTTGTTGGCACTCGTCAGGGAGGTGTATCTGTGATCTTGAAAGAATTCATGCCCGCCTTCTGAAATTCGAACCCTAGTCACCCAGTGCTGAAGTTGGAGACGTTAAAATTGAGCTATTCGGGTTCGCCATTAACCATGGGACCTGGGCTCAGGGCTTCCTATCAATCACCAACCATATAAAAATCACAGGTGTTCTTCTACCACAAGGCCTTCAGATAGATGTTGAACAAATCTTAGGATGTTTTCTAGCCCCATATTTATGCAACTTAGTTACTGTTAGATATTATAAAAAGGCTGTACAGACGTCTATAATCTACTCTCACCTTAATGCAGGCAGGACATTAACTCCCCACCACCACCACCACTACCACTTTAAGTAAAACTGATCGTTGAAAATGCAGTTATTTCAGAAAATTCAAGACGACGACTATGCATAAAGTTCAATCTTTGGTGTAAGACATGACGATAAATAAGCTCGAAGAAGGAATATAATTACGACTGATCATAAAGAAACTTATTTACATAGCGCAAGACTGTTACCAGCTCAACTGTCGAGTACTTAGTGAACTCAAGTCAGGGTACAAAGGGTGTTAAGTTTCGGTATCTGTGTATGACGAAGGCACCGGCGATTCGTCAAAGCAACCCCAAGCCCTGTATACACAGGAAAATTTTTTCCATTCTCTTATTCCACCATGGTCTTAACCTCTGTAATTTTTTTATTTTTATTGGTAATGATCAGTTTGCTTTTATTTTTAATAATTAATTCAATATTATCGCTGTCATATGTTCCTTTTGTATATCTTCTCGATCTACTGAATTGGTTGTGTTCTCTGAGATGATTGATTTAATTGCGAAGCCACAAATCTTCTCCATCAATTCTGAATTGTCCCATCCTCTTCACACTTGTTAAATGGATACTGAATTACCTTCTTCTCACGCAATTACAGATTTAACCTTATCAAATTTCTAATCCTTTCTTCATTTGAGCCGTTTATTTTTTTACTTTTGAAGCCACTTCTGAGTAATCATATCAATTATGTCACAGACACCCTATTACTCATTAATGAACTACTATACATTTTTGGTAAATGTAAATACGACTGTACAGCCTTTGAAGATGATTTCGTCGATAAAGAAAATTTTCTTTGCTGAATAATGTTCATGACGTAAACCCGTGTGACATCGGTAGATCAGATGTAGAATACTAGCCAACCACGCCACATCTGGTCTAGGTTCCATTCCCGGCTGACAAATTTTGTAAATCTCACTTAGCCAATAGTATGCTAGAGAAAGAAGGAAGGTTGATCGTTAGCCTAGCAACTACCCCCCATACCGTAAAAAAGAATAACACCACTGCTACTGAAGCTCCAAAGCTCAATCTGGAAGCCCTCCTATATTCTGTTTGGAATGGAAAAGGAATAAAGTAGGCATTATCCCCCTCAAAACATAACATCTTCAGCCCTAATCTCAAAATTATAAAATTAGTCTATATCCATTTGCGAGTGATATGAAAGTGAAAAACAACAAGTTGACAGAGGAAGAAGCATCAAAGATAGGACTTCCTTCACGTGAACATAGAGAAAACAGAGCTAATGAAGATTCCTGGCCAACAGCAACAACAACACACAACAATCAGTCAGCATAAATGGGAGAAATCTGAAAGAAGCAACCTCCTTTACCTATCTATTACCTACCTACCTATCTGGGAAGCATCGTTTCAACTACAGGCCGACGGAACTGATGAGGATATCAAAGCAGCGAGGATCGGAAAAGACAGGCAAGCTTTCATTTCTTTCAAGTCTGTGTGGAGATCAACACTGCGCCCAGCATGAAAAATAAGATCCGGATTTTCAACTCCAATGTGAAGTCATTGCTACTTACTCTACGGATCAGAGACTTGGCGCCGCGTCATGAAGAGCACTTCGAACAAACCACAAACCTTCATCAACAGGTGCCTTCACTCAATACTACTCAAGATCAGATGGCCAGAAAAGATCACCAACAGGGATCTCTGAAAGCAAACCAACCCAGCAGGAACCAATTGTGCAACAGATATGCAGGAAGAAATGGAGGTGGATTGGCCATACTCTGAGAAAACAAACCATCAAGTGAGTGACATCACACGCCAGGCCATCGCTCGAGTGAAAATCGACTGAATGGGAAGTGGTGAGTTGGTCATCAGTGCCAGGGTAGAGTGACACGGAGGAGGTAATGTGAAGAGGAAATGAAAGCATGTGGGAAGACATGGAGCCAGGTGAAAACGTTGGCAGAGAACCGAACGCAATGGAGACGTTTGGGTGAAGCCCTATGTTCCTTCAGGAATTAAAGAAAACAATAATAATAATAATAACATCCATAGATATATTTTAAGTGTAGACTGGCCCGAGAGTAGCAAGCAGCTCCCATAGTACATCCTCTGACTAGACTGCAAACACATTACATAATCAGTTTCAAGTTTGAAAATGTCATCAGCCAAAAAAACGAAAAGACATTAAAATCTATTTGACTAGGCATCTTGAAACATTACAAAAATATTTTTTAATGCATACCCTTCGTAGATGTGAGTTAACCCAATTAGTGAAGGTTTTCTTCTGTACACGTTGTTGTTCATCTACAAGTGAATAGAAATAAAACAAAAAAACAAAAACAGATAATCTCCGTCTTCTAATAACACTATCGGAAAAAAAAACAAATGCTATAAAATGTAATCACAAAAATCCAGTATTGGTTTGCAAGGATTTTACTGATGACACGACGTTTGATCGCGACACCTAAAAACTAATCTGATGCTCACTAGAGCTACTGGCTCTATACAGGTATTTACTTTCAGTTCCAGTGAGAAGCTGTGACCAGTATAGTCCACCAAGTCAGAATAGAGGACAGTTAATCACCGTTGACATTGGCTGGAGGTTGCACTATATATATATATTATTATTATTATTATTATTATTTCCTTTAATTCCTAGAGGAACATAGGGCTTCAGCCATGCGTCTCCATTGCGTTCGGTTCTCGGCTGTAGTATATATATATATATATATATTCCGAATGGTCTACGGGCCCGCCTTGTAACCAGAATAGCCTGGGTTCGAACCCCGATGGATGCGTACTACTGAATAGCTCCAAACTAGGACGAAACGACAGTCCAGTACTCCTTTGGTTTTCCAATAGTTCTTTAACTAATGTCAGCTCATTAATGAACCTGAAATCCAGCGTCCACTTTTCGTCATAGGATACAGGACACTTGTATCTACTACCATAGAAGGATAAGGATTGAAGTTTCCCTAAAACATGCGATCCACAGATTATCAATCAAATATGTCATCAGTACAACTAAATATTAAGATTATCAGTGAGATTTGAGATGTAATCGATAGTTTATATTTAAAAAGTAGCCATAATTTTTTTTAAAGTCGACCAGTCCTGTTTACTTTACATCAGTGTTAGTTCTGACCATTATGAATGTAAGACATGGCTACTGAAAAGGCTGGCTTGTCATTAACCACAGATGTTTGCATACTGTCTAACGTGCTAAGTGATATAGTGAGGAGATTAATATTGCGGTTAGGCATAGAGTGCTAGATAAGGAAGAGCAGACAACCGACGAGGTTGTGAAGCTACATAGACTAAAACACATACGACACATGATACGCTTGCCAAGCCATCTCACTCCTCGTCTTCATTAAAGCAGGGATACCCTATCAGGCCAATAGTTGAATTTAGGAATATTAATATTATGCCCCAATAGAGACAGGTCAAATTCTAGGCTAACCAGTTCCTCTGTAATGAAACAGAAACTAGAGGAAATTCAATTAGAAAAAGAAGAAAAAATGGTTAGTTTTGACACAACCAGTTTATTACTAAAGTTCCCATTAATACAGTTCTCTAAGATGTTGGGAATAAACTGAACGTCGATCCTGAACTCAAAAGTAGGACTAAGCTCTCGCTCAGTTGATGAAATAATATCAGGTGTTCAGTTATGTCTAACCTCCACTGTATTCAAATTTCAAAATAAACTATATAAACAAACAAATGGAGCGGCGGCATAGGATCACCAATATCCCCAATATTAGCAGACATATTTATGGATAGTTGGGAGCATAAGGCTCTTAGAAAGTTTATTCCTGCTCCTAGGTTATAGTTGAGATATGTGAATGACACACATTCACCGTATTGAAATCTGAGCAAATCCCTGAATTTCCCACACATATAAACTCAAGAGTAGACGAAATCAATTCACTTTTGAGTTAGAAAACGAACAGAGTGAGTAGGCCATGCTAGGCTGTGAAACAAAACGAAAACAATATGGTGGGTTAGATACTAGCATCTACACGAAACCAACACACTCTAATAAATACTTAGATCAGACTTTAAGTCATTCCATCCAGAATCAGTAAAGGAAAATAGGTTCAGTTAAATGTCTGTATAATGAGGTTAAGAGACTAACTAGAACGTTCAAAGATTTGAATAATGAAATCAAACAAATAGGGGAAATACTATTAGTGAATAACTAACTACGTAGCAGAATTTATTCAGAAATAAATGAAGAACCATAGAAAAACTAAAATTAGCCAAAAAAATGACGAAAATAACGAAAATAATATAGAATTCAAAGCCTCTGTAGTGCTGTCGTAGAAAGAAAGAACGTCACAGACCTTAAGTAGGGTTCTCAATGACGCTGAAATTAGGGTACGTGGCATTTAAACCAACCAACAAACTCACTCACAGATAGTCTTTGTCAGCTTAAGGACCCAATACATCCAATTAAGGGAGACCACATAACTTATCAAACACCATGTAATGACTTAGTGTGGTGAACCACACCAGTCAAACCAGTAGATTGGGGGCAATTACACTTTTCGAAAACAAATTTAGCTAGACCTAGAATGGTAGACCTTCTTAAGCTAAACAACCTAGAAAAGTGTTCGGCCATTCTATTGCATTCCCTTGCACAAAATAGGGTGGCACAGTGCCAGAGTATTAAAAAGTAATATACTTGGGTGGACACACAGAGAGGTTATTCACTGAACCTTTGTTTATCGATTCAACACTGCACACGTGCAATCGAAATGACGCAACACCTATACCGAAGATATACAAAGAGGGCAACAAACAACGAAGGGAAGTTGGAGAGACAGTGATAGAAAGAGAGAAAATATGTACGTAAGACAAATTGTGAAACCATGTGACTAAATTGATATGATTATGAGTGGCAATAATTTATGCTCAAAACCTTGTCATCCAGTTGTTAATACTGCATGACTGTGCGGTTATTAAAATATCATGGTAACAACTCTGTTGATTTGACTTAACTTTTGTTTGTATGCTAATTTTTCTAACTACTTAAAACTCTTGCGTAATTCCGTATGTTATTTTGTTTTCATGTACACCCTGAGCACAACTCTTTCATTAAACTATTCATGTTATTACGTAACTCTTCTTTAACAATCGTTTGTGACAATTCATCACTTTTGTTAATACTCTCTTATATCAACATCCGATTCATCTGAACTTACTAATTGTATTTTCGTTTGACAAATTTAATGTACACACACACACATACAAAACAACCATATATATTTGCGATTGTACAGCTCTGAAAATGAATTCACCGAAAAGAGACTCTTCGCTGAACTACTGGTCTTCTCTCTGTTATTAAAACAGACATAAGAATAATTTGAGAAACCGAAACCTGAAGTCAGTCTATGTAGTCTCTGACAATTGGTTCAAGCCAGCCAGCTAGGGATATGTAGTCTGCCTGGTTGAGTTCCTTGGAATGTTGAAAACCAATCCATAGTTCTTTAGAATCTCTTGATTTTCTCTCTTTTCTTTACCTTTGAGTGTACGACATGGAGTGTGATAAATTGAACTACTACACTTCTGTGCAAAGTTCTGTGTTGAAACCAGACACTGCATGCATGAACAGTGATATGATTGTTCATTCAAGGTCATTCGGTGGCTGCTATAATTTATCATAGCGGTAAAAGTCGATTGTAGAACCTTCAAAATGACCTTGAGGCGACTAATCACATAATTAATCTCAGATGCTATGCACGTATTGCGGCGTTCATAATTTTCTCTTTATCTGGTGTCCTAGTTTTGTCTACATATGGGATTATTTATTATTATTATGTTTAGCTAAAACTTGATTACGGTATAAAAATGAAAGGGTGAATACGAACATCTGGCACCTACAACCAGACTGATGGAAATGCAGGTCTACCTAGGGGAGTTGAGAAACCCTGACTCCAAAATTATGATATACATGGACACTATAATCCGAATGGATAGAATGATGTATGAATGTGTTCTGGTTACCAGAAACGAAAGGAACATAGCTCCTGAAGCTGCTCCATTGACTTGTGGATCAGACTTCAAGTCAAAGGCTCGGAGGGAAATGGCCTCTTAAGATAACCACCTGCTTCGGTCTACGCGTCCAGGAAGTATCCCAGTCTTCGCACAAACTACGCGATCTTGTGAGGCACATCTCTTGGTGCAGACGAATAACGTCTAGTGTCACACAAACTCGAAGACTTGCATGCAAAAACCAACAAGTTATCAGAAGAAGTAGCAAAGAAAGGACTTCAGGTGAACATAGAGAAAACAGTGGTCCCGAAGATAGCCAATCAACAACGACAACAACCAGCACCAATCACCATCAGTGGAATAAATTTGAAAGAGGTTACTTCCTTCACTTATCTAGGGAGCATCGTTTCAAGTACAGGCAGTCAGCACGGATGATGCCAAAACCAGAATCGGAAAGTCAAGGTAGACCTGCATCAATCTAAAATCAGTTTGGAAATATTATGCACTCAGTATAAAGAAAAAGGTTCAGATTTTCAACACCAATGTTAAGTCAGTCAGTTCTTCTATATGGGTCTGAAACTTGGGGTGCGCGTCACGAAAAACATCTCGAACAAGTCGCAGACTTTTATTAACACATGCCCCCTTCACTCCATATTAAATGGCCAGAAAGAATTAGAAACACGGGACTCTGTGAACGAACCACCCAAAAACCTTCTACTCAACAAAAATGCAGATAGATTGGGCACACACTGAGGAGACCATTGAGTCATGTCGCATACCAAGCCACCTCTCGAGTAGTTACCGGATGGGAAACGAGTTAGACGTGGGTCCGTTGGTGACATGGAGGAGGTCGTGTGAGGCGTTGGAAAATGAGAGATTATGCCCAATCATGGGGCCAGCTAAAGAGGACAGCAAAGAGCAGGACAAAACAGAGGTGTTCCGTTGAAGCCCTATGTTACCATTCGGGAAGAAGTAGGCTAGGACTAGGCAATATATAGATTCAGGTCATTTGCAGGTTATATTAAGGGAACATTACTGTTGAGATAGGAACCCAAATTTGCCTTTTGAGAGCAACTGATCGTTTCAACATCAATGGTGAATGCTATTCTTTAGCTTCGCTAAAATTCCTCAAAAGCCATAATGTGTAAATTAAAAAACAGTCCATCGAAAAACAGCAGTAACAAGCGTTAAAACTTACTGAGAACATTAGAATTTATATTATTTCCTGTTGATTTCTGGTTAGAAGCTTTTTTCATCCTCCCTAACAGAGAGGAGGATTAACAGTAATAATAAATAATGAGTAATCC